TCTCTCTCTCTCTCTCTCTCTCTCTCTCTCTCTCTCTCTCTCTTGTGCACGTTCATTCAGGGAGAAGCCGGTTCACGCGTTCCCGCGATGCGCCGTGTAATCTTAAAACATTTTGTTTCCCTTTAAAAGCGCCGTCGCTCTTTTTCACCATTTTTCTCCACTTTTTTCCACTTTTTTTTTGTTTGTTTCTTTCTTTTTCGTTCTTTTCTTACAGAACTCTTAATAATAATTTTCTTTTCTGTTTTTTTTTTCTTTTTTTTCTTTGTCGGGCGACGCGTGCAGCTGTCCCCGGCCGGGCCACCCGTCGTCCCATCGACGAAACGCGCGAAAAATACAAAATCTAAATCTCCTCGATAAAATATCATCCTTCTTACCGTCGTCAGACTTTTTTTTCCTGACACCATATATATATATATATAATATATATATAATATATTTATTCATGTTTTTTTTTATATATATAATATATATTATTAATATTATTATTATTTCAATTGCTATGTCGCTTATATAAAGGTAATATAATACTCTAGTAGCGAGGGAGGCTGGGTGGATCCGGGTACGCTGTCTTTGAATAATACTATCATCTAAGTAGTTTCGCGGCAGATCGAGGGACACGTGACCACTTTCACCCTGTATATTCTTTTTTTCTTTTCAATCTCTCCCTCTCTCCCTCTCTCGTACGACATGTGCCTGTTATATATACATATATATGATGAGATCGATTGTTTGTCTGTAATACGTGTAACGTGTGTGTATCGATTGTTTGCCTGTAATACGTGTAACGTGTATCGATTGTTTGTTTGCAATACGTGTAACGTGTATGTATAGGTATGAGTAGTGAGCGTGTACAGATTTATAAGTTACGTCGAGTAATGGGGCAAACGTTTTTTTTTTTTCTTTTTTTTTCGGTAATCGTTCGCTGCGATTATGTACGACGAGCTCGCAGGTCTCGGAAGTCCATCGTGAGTCGATACATCCGGCCGATAGCGGTCGCCTCTGCGATAAGTTTTCACTTGTCATGAGATAAGAAGAGTGACCAGATAAAAATAAGTATTTCAAGGATACTCTGTTTGTTACGACTGCTGGTCAGTGAATAAGTAACACAATCGAATACCTTGGTTAATCCTGTAAATTATTATGCGGGGAAACTTCGGAAGCTTGCCACTATCGGTGAATGCACGAGCTTTCCCTCGTGTTACTTTAGATCGTTTAATTACCTTCAAACGCAATCTGTAATCACGTGACTTCGTTTACACTTGAAACTCGACTCGTAAGAAAGACTTTCATAAAACACACAGAAACATTTTTAACATGACTTCTTTGAGATTCGTACTGTTTGTTCGTTCTGTTTCGAGAAAGAATAACAACGACAGTTTAGTTTCGTGGCACGCCGCTGCAAGTTTTCTCTCGCTTTCGTTCGATCAGTTGATCGTGCGCCGCCATCTTTGCGCTTTTCGTCACGTGATTCCAGATGACACAAGGAGCTTAACGATCGAGAGAGCGAATGAACTCTGTTTGTACCGCAACTGCGCTTTTGGCCATTGAAAAGCCGTTCCGTTACCTTCGCGGAGATCGAAGCACGTAATTTCCATAACACGTAATTTTCAGAACGATAAATAGGACGTTTACGACGATTGGTACGCTTCCTAAATAAAAATATATATAGAGCTCGTAAAAATTTTATTTATCAGTGTTTGCAAGCACCCTTGATATAGTGTGTTTCATAATGTTTTACGGAGGATAACGCGGATGGAAATTACGGTCTCGGATGGTTCCGCGCGCCATGAAAGAAGGACAACGTGCAAAAATATTCATAAACTATCCCGTTCCCGTTACCGAAGAGCGCTGACTCTCGTTCGTGGATTGTCAATCATATAAAAAAATAACATCTACGCTAATTGAAACGTTGTCGATGGAAAACTCGATCGTTCGATCCGAATTCATTTCAGTCTCCGTTCCATTGTCTAAGGCTGCCTTCGATCCGAAAATGAATTTGAGTAGAAAAATACCGGAATATATACCGTGAATATACTTGAATATAATCAGCGAATGGAATGTTATTGCATATCGATACGAAACGCACTGTCCGTGTCAGCCTAATTCGCCCGTGTTAGGCTGATCCGCCCAGAGCCAGAGTAGCATCTCGGTGGTCAACAGTCTCGCTACTGGGAATACACGTATCGAACCGTGCGCGTCAAACGTTTTTCTCGATAGTTCGAAGGCAACTCCATAAACGGCAAAGCCAAACGAATCCTTCGTTCACGTGTAACAGAACCGCGACGGCAACACACACACACACACACACACACAGAGTATCCGGGAGTGTGTTTCTCATTGCTCTCTGTCACGCGTCAGCTCTGAAACACACACACGCATACACACACACGCATACACACACACAAACACACAAACAGTTCATTCGTGGACACGTTGATGATGTCTGAACATATATGTGTGAACCTGCGAGCCGGTATACCTACGTACATACGTTATGTTTACATATCGAGGGTAGAAGTATGAAAACGATGACAATGAATGAGCGAGTATGTTATTTTTTTCCCTTAATCTCTTTCTCTCCCTCTCTTTCTCTCCCTCTCTTTCTCTCTCTCTCTCTCTCTCTTTCTCTCTCGTTCTATATATACTCTCGTAGAACTTAAAAGCTGACTTCGTTGTATTCGGTCGGCGGGAACGACGCGACAAATTAGACATTTTCATATATATCGGGGCATTCCCGGCGCGTAGAAGAGGTTATTGGCAGCAGTGGAATTGAGACATATTGTGCGCGTTCGCTCCCCCGACGTCGCCGCGCGGTGTCTCGCGAACGCACGGGGGGACACGAGGCTTTTCTTCTCTCGTCATATGCGGAAAAATTCGGGTGTTGGTTGTTGTTGATGGGCGTTCCTCCAACGCCGTTGTTCCTGGATGAGCCGCCAAAAAATCGAAGAGCAGAGACGTGTGTTTCTTTTGTTTCTGTTTCTGTTTCTGTTTCTGTTTCTTTAACCAATCCGGTGAGAATGATATCGGTGTACAGCCGCTGTACCAGGTGCCACGACGCAAAAGTGGGAGCCTGCGTGGGATCTTTGTTCCGATGTTTGTTGGGCTCCGGCTGCTCGGTGTTTAAGAGAAGATACGAAGTGCCTGCAGGACAGGCCTGGAGCAGACGGGGCAGCTAGGGTCGGAGCTCTCGCAGACCCGATTGCCGCAGTCCAGGCAGAAGTGATTGTGTCCGCATGGTACGAGGGCGGCGGTGACCTCCTTGTCGCCGCACACCACGCATTCTCGTCGTCCACCGCCGAGCAGCGAGTCCGTGGGTGAGGTGGGACTCGCCGACGCCGGCGGCGATGGCCTGGATGGTAGCGCGACGCCGGGGAACGACCAGATCGACGAGGCGGACGCAGTCTGCGACTCGAACGACGGCGACTCGCCTAGTCCCTCGTCCCTCTCCATTCCGGCGCCCCAGATCGCCACCAGGTCGTTCAGTCCAGGTGCACCGGAACTGCTGGACGAGCTGCTGCAACTTCCGCTGCTGGAGAACGCGCCGCTCGATCCGTTCGAGCCGTTCGAGCCCGGTGGATCGAGGCAACCGAGGATCGAGCCCAGGCCACCGCGACAGAGCACGCTTAGCAGTTCCGAATCGTCGAGGGTGGTTCCTGTGCCGGTTCTAAGTGCTATGTGTGCCTCGATCTCGCGTCTGGCAGCCTCCACGCTTTCGGGTAGACCGGTCACCTCGAACACCGGCTCCTTGTCGCGGCTCGGCGTCACTATGTAGGTGTGCGTCTGATGCTGGATTCTCTTGATGGTGGCGCCCTTCGGCCCGACCACCAGGCCGACCACTCTGTACGGGACTCGTACCTGAATCGTCACGTGGCCCGGCACCGACGCCGGCGGTCCGGGGGGCGCGCCCAGCAACGCGCCCAACGAGCTCTTGCGCGACGCGCGGATCTGAGAGAAATGCTCCGCAGCCGAGAGGATCTCGCGTTTCGCACGGGCCACGTCCTCCTTGCGGCCGGTCACCACGAACACCGGCTCCTCGCCGCGCACCGGCGTCTTGATGTAGGTGTTGGTCTTTGCACGGAGCGCTTTGATTTTACAACCTGCAATCAGAAACAAGAAATCCTCGTTTAGTTTACGGTACAATCTCTCGGAATCGTTTTATTTCTACGTCTACAATACATGAGCACACACGTTTGAGATTTCGCGTTTTCCTCGCGTTCCTTTTACCAACACGACGCTGTTAAACAAAACGTTCGAATTCCTTTCGTTCGCAAAATTAGAATCATCCAATTGTATGTACACACCGATCGTGGTAACGCGACGTTAGTTATTAATTAACTGACGATCGGAAATCGACCGAGCGTCAAAAAAAAACCGCATCGTTCATTCCAAGTACACCGAGCTGGCGAGCACGATTGGTCGTACGTACGGTGGGTGCTTCACGGTCTCGGTGTGCTCCGCCGGAGAAGCCAAAGCCTTTGTCATGACGCAATTGTCCCCGTACGCGGGGGAACAACAACAGACACATAGCGAGGATCGGCGCGCGGTACGAAAAAGGAGAAGCTGGAAGAGAACGGTGGGATGCCATGTGAAGAGAAGGAAGAAAACGACGAGAGAGGCCCAGAG